ATGACATATATTTATATTCTTTTTATATCTAGTTAAGTGGAATTTGAGATTCTATTTTTGTTTTTGAGCACAAGTTTTTTAAATTTACTTTTTTTTTCTTTTTAGTTACACATGACAGTAGAATGTATGTTGACATATTATACGTACATGGAGAACATCTTCCCATTCTTCTGGTGGTACATGATGTGGGATTACATTGGTCATGTATTCATATATGACCACAGGAAAGCTATGTCTGATTCATTCTACTGTCCTTCCCATTCCCATTCTCTCTCCCTTTCCCCCACCTCCTCCTGTCTAATCTGGTGAACTTCAACTCCCCAACCCATTGTGAATCAGCATCCATATATCAGAGAGGATATTTGGCCTTTGGTTTGTGGGGATTGGCTTATTTTACTTAACATGATGTTCTCTAGCTCCATCCATTTATCAGCAAATGCCATGATTTCATTTCTCTTTATGGCTGAGTAATATTCCATTGTGTATATATATTGTATTTTCTGTATCCATTCATGTGTTGAAAGGCACCTAGGTTGGTGGCATAGTTTAGCTATTGTGAATTGAGCTGCTATAAACATTGATGTGGGGTAGCATCACTGTAGTATGCTAATTTTGAGTCCTTTGGGTATATATCCAGGAGTGGGATAACTGGGTCAAATGGTGGTTTCATTCCAAGTTTTCTGAGAACTCTCCATACTGCTTTCCAGAGTGGTTGCACCAGTTTGCAGTCCCACCAGCAATGTATAATTGTACCTTTTCCTCCACATCCAAGCCAACATTTATTGTTGCTTGTATTCTTGATTATTGCCATTCTGACTAGAGTGAGATGAAATTTCGGTGTAATTTTAACTTGCATTGCTCTAACTACTAGAGTTGTTGAACATTTTCTCATATATTTGTTGACTGATCATATTTCTTCTTCTGTGAAGTTTCAGTTCAGTTCCTCTGCACATATGTTGATTGGATTATTTAAGTGGTTTTTTTTTTGTTTGTTTTTTGTTTTGTTTTTTTTGTGTGTGTGTGTGTAAGTTTTTTTGAGTTCTTTGTGTATCCTGGAGATTAATGCTGTAACTGAGGTGCAGGTGGTAAAGATTTACACCCATTCTGTAGGTTCTCTTTTCATGATCTTGATTGTTTCCTTTGCTGTGAAGAAGCTTTTTAGTTTGATACCATCCCATTTGTTGATTCTTGATTTTACTTCTTGCATTTTAGGAGTCTTGTTAAGGAAGTAGGTTCCTAAGCCGACAAGATGGAGATTTGGGCCTACTTTTTCTTCTATTAGGCACAGGGTCTCTGTCTAATGCCTAGGTCCTGATGCACTTTGAGTTCAGTTTTGGAGCACAAGTTTTATCGTTGTTTTGTTTTTTTTTTTTTTAAGTGGCTTTGGTAGACTTTTGTTTTTAATTTCTTTTGATGCAGTAACATTAGTTGTTAATCTGTATGGCTAGACTTTGGAAGATTCGAGCTGTGTAATTCATCATTCACATGGTCTTAAGGAAAGTTGACTCACTTTTCTGATATTTTTCTTCATCTATATCATAGAATTAATTTCTGTCACTAAGGCTATTGTGATAATTAAATAGCAAAGGGAAGCAAGAAGTATTTGTTTTTGAAGCTATATCCCTTTTACCTTGTGCCTGTTGAAATTTGCAGTTCCTTTCACCTTTCTGTTTGTAAGCTTTTCTTTTTCTCTCAGTTCTTCCTTGGCATTCTTCCCTACCTTCCCTCCCTTCCCTCCCCACTCTTTTTGGCATAAGTCACAGAAGATAAATAGGGTAAAGTTTCATACCATGCCTAGCTCCTCTCTTAACCAATCAATGCCTTAACACTCTCTCCTCCTTTTCATTGTCAGTCAACATGTATTTAGTAAGTGCTGAGGGTGTGGAGTATTATAAGAGGTAGTTGAAGGTTTAATTCCAATTTGCAGTATCCGAGCCTGTCCTTCCGGTTCACAAATGGAAACCCAATCCTACCTGGAACAAGAAGAACTTTAGTGTTAATCCTGTGTTAATGAATTTGTTAAATTAGTCTTTGCTGACACAGATAAGAAGACACTTTCTTATATATAAGAGATTTTATTGTCTAATCTATATATCACTCTTGTCAAGGGCATACCTGAGAAAGATGCTCTTTGAGTACAGCCAGGGGTATCAGGTTAGGCTGGTGTTGTCCTGAGTGTGTTTAATTAAGGAAGGACATGTGGCAAGAACAAGGGTCATTTTTTAACTCATGTTTTAAAGGTACAGAGAAAATTTCTTTACTTTCTAGAATTCCTTTCACTATTCATATTTGGAAAGTACTAATAAAATAGTTTATAGTTCTTCTTTTACTAGACTATAATTTTAAATATTTATTAATAGAACGACATGTCAAAATTTTTAAAAGACTTTTTAGGAATACATGAAAATAAGATGACCTTTGAATTACCTAAGGAGGCAAAAGAATGAGAATCATGGATTGGACCATTAAAAATGAAGCTAGTGTTGAGACTGGGCATTATATACAATAATAACCTACAGATTTGCCTGTGACTTGGCTTTAAGCCTTCTAATGGTCTATCAAAAAAGAAAATTCATTTTGCAACCTATTTCATAATAAAATAAAAGAAAACTTTTGCTAAGAAGCAAAAACTGTTTCTTATTGCAAAAATCTGATAGGAATTTTTTAAAGCAGTCCACATGAGAAGGACCCTGTGTGATCTAAGATCACTCTCAACCACAGCTTACAGGAAAAGCAAAGGTGACTTCCTTAGAGCTATTTCCTCTAATACCTGTCAGTATAAGCTTATGTATCTCACCAGGCACTGTTTATAAGAGGAATAATTCTGTGGAGCAGGTAAGGCCCAAATGCTTTGATTCAGATAACCCAGTTCTCTCCTGATTTGACGTGGTCCCAACACATATTTTATTTAGAAAATCTGGAAAATGGATTGTATGTCCTTCAGAAAGTTTGTTGTTTTGTTTTGAGATACTGGTGATTGAACTCAGGGTCTCATGCATGCATGATTTATCTTTGAAAGTAAACTACTTGCCAAATATATACTAAGAAAACCAAAGAAGGAACTTGTTGAATAGGACTCTTTTATAAACCAGTTAAAAATGAATGGGCAGGGGCTGGGGCTGTGCCTAAGTGGTAGAGTGCTTGCCTAGCATACATGAGGAGCTGGGTTTGTTCCGATCCTCAGCACCACATGAAAAAATAAACAAATAAAATAAAGGTATTGTGTTCATTTACAAAGAATTGACCAATTGCATATTGTTATTGAATAGCAAGCCTTACGTCATTGTCAAAAATTTTAAAATGCTTCAGCTTTGTGATACTCATGGCTGTGACTCTTCCTATTATTAATCTGCCTAGAAGTCTGGTATCGGATGCTTACCGACAATTACCTTGTGCTCACTCAATGATGGTGTTGGATGGTAGTGAGATTGAAGGCAGACTGTCAGTTGACTGAGTAATAACTAGAAATTAGGAAGTTCAGCTTCTGGCCTTGACTCAGTTAGTGATTTTGATATTTGTCATATCTTTTGAACATTCTGTATCTCAGCCACTCCATCTGTTAAACTGAGTTTGTAATAACTGCCCTGGTCTGTCTCACAGGAATGTTGCATGGACAAATTAGATAAGTGTAAAAGTGCCTTGGAGGTAAAGCCACTCTATGAATAAAGATTAGTATGATGTATCTACTGAAAAGTGTGTTGCAGAGGCTAGAATGGTTCATTTCTGCAGGCTTCGTGACCAGATAAGGCTTCATAATGGATTCCTGTCAAACCAAGCTCATCTTATCAGTTCATGACTGTATAGTAGTATTTAATGGAAAAAAAAAATCTCTTTGCAACATGTTACCGTGATACAAATGTGCATTAAAAATTTGTCATGTTTAGGGAGATGGGGAGGGGAGAGTTGCTAAATAATGGGTGTAAAATTTCAGCTATATAAGATGAATAAGATCTACACAGCTACTGTACAACAATATGCCCATGGTTAGCAATATTGTGTTGCGTACTTAAGAATCTGTTGAGAGTAGTTCTTACGCTAAATGTTCTTAAGAATCACAATAAAATAAAAATATTTTAAAATCAGTCTTATTTTAATTAGATAAAATCTTTCTACCAGTATGGTGGCACACACCTGTAACCCCAACTACTCAAGAGGCTGAGGAAGGAATATCACAAGTTCCAGGCCAACTTGGACAACTTAGTGAGACCCTGTCTCAAAATAAAAAATAAAAAGGGCTAAGGATGTAGCTAATTGATAAAGCCCCCCTGGATTCCACCAAAATAAAACAAAAACAAAAACTTTCCAAGTGGCTTCAAACAATCCATAATATACAGTTCACATTTCTGTAGTAATTTTTTTTGGGGGGGGTATTTTAATTTGTAATAATTTTGGGGAGGTTATTAATTTGTAGAATATATTGGGGCCCAAAAACATAATTTTGATATGTTTAATAATGTTTATATATGTATATGATACAGTGTGTAAGCAAGAGAAATTCCCTAGAGTATTTTCTTTTCTCGGGGAATAAATACTACTGTTTTTAAGACTCTGACATTACCAAATTGGATTTTTTTCTTTTATTTTCTAGAAATGGCAAATTCTCATCTCTGCATAATGTAGATGAATAAGATCTACATTATGTTGTTTTTCTAGTTGCTTCATAGTCTGTCCCAGTTAGCATTCTCATTCTCAATCCTAATTGTGATGTAGACAAATTGATTCACTGCAGCTTATTAAAACATCCCTTGGAACCCCTGCAGACAGTAAAAGGAGGGAAGGGTGGCTTTTCTTGAAGGAATCCTTAAGGGCTCTTACTCCACTCCCTTTTTCTGTTTCCATAAATGCACAGAGAGTTCCTATGGAAATTTACAGCACCCTGTGTGTCATTGAGAAGGAAAATAAGCAAGTATTTGATTGGACATTTCATAAAAGAGGTCCTATCTAGGCTAACTTTAGAAACTTTAATCCTTGAGCCAAGTTGATCTCTTTTCTTCTGGCAGGGGACCATTCCTAGTAGCACTGGGGAAATCTTGGCACCCAGAAGAATTTAACTGCGCTCACTGCAAAAATACGATGGCCTACATTGGATTTGTAGAGGAGAAAGGAGCACTGTATTGTGAGCTCTGCTATGAGAAATTCTTTGCTCCGGAATGTGGTCGATGCCAAAGGAAGATCCTTGGAGTAAGTATTGGAAACTGCTCTTTTATTCTTAGTGAGTTTTAAAGCAAAAAACACAATAGCTGTTTGTTGTAAAACTCTTCCATCGTTTTTGCTTTTTTTATTTTCTTCTTGCTTTATCAACCCTCTTTGATTTCATCACTATGTATGTAAAGCAAAACTAAATAGACCTCTGGAGAAATATATCAGACTCATGGGGTTAGGTTGCCTTTGGTTTTGTCTTACTGAGTGCTGGTTTGTCTGGTGAAAGTCTAGCCACTGTAGGGGAAAAATAATTTACTGTGGGTGTGCTACCTCAACAGGACCCTGTTTGCTCAGGAATGAAGAGGTCACACAGGACCACACACATCAGAGTCCTCAGAACTGACACCTTCACTGTTTTAAATTAAATTCCATAGCTTTTATAAGAGCAGCATTTACCCACTTGTCAGGGTTCATGCACAGGACACTGACCTCGTGAAATATATAAAACATGAGACTTATAATTGAATATATTTTTCTTGAATGCATATAAAGTTTAAAAATATAACTTCAGTTTTACGAGAGTACATGTGATAGAAAAATAATTTCAAACCATGGGCCTTTTTTTCCTTAAGAAAATAATTTAGGAGTAGCTACATAATGAAGAATGATGAATCAATGAATATCCTATTCTGGAATATCTAGTTTGCAGTTACAAGTAAGTGTCAGGCATTTCTTGAGAGTGACTAGAAGTTGGAATTTGATCTTAGAATAAATTAAGGTACCTGGCCTGATATAGAAGGAAATGGCTTTGTTGATTGGAAATGACTTTACTGAATTCCAACTAATACACTAATATGAAAATGAAACTCTAATTCACAGTGAGAGAAAGTTAGTGTGAATTATGAGTATACCTTGAAATGTGACTAAAACTATTGAAGACACTTTAAATTACAAATATGCTGCATGAAATATTAGTGTTATTAATTTGTAGATATGTTGGGGCCCAAAGAGTAGAATGATTCAAACTGTACCTTCCCAAATGTTAATAAATAATTAGTAGGATATACATTAATACTGTTTTAGTGTATTAATGTCTTCTGTGGATTCAAGAATAGCTAATAAAACAAAAATGAAGTAAGTCTAATAAAGTTAGCAAAGGAATTAGAAAGAATACATTACCAAATGATTATTCTTCAAAAATTATTTTAATGACTTCTTTTTCTCAATCTAAAGAGATAATTCCTTGCAAAACCAACTCCTCCAAACAAGTTTTACTAACTAATCCAGCCTAAATGGTTAGTACTTGGTATATTTAACCATAAAGCTACTGCCAACCAGAATCTAAGCTTTATGGTTCAAATCATAGACACTTGCTTAAGTACATAGCATAGTCATATCTGATTTTCAAAAAGCTGAACACACACTAAACTGATTGGATTATACTGATTACATTATTGCTTCAATAATGCACCAAAGTATAGGGTTTGTTTTAGTTTTTAAATGCTTCCCCTGCCCGGACATCTTTAAGATAAAAACTTTTGTAAATTAACATTTCCTGACACTTTTGAGAGAAAGCAGAACATAACTGTCAAAACACTTTATGAAATGTTCCCCTTAGTCACCATATATACCATATAGTGGTAATAATTCTTTAAATAAGTTCATTGATTTGTGTTTGTGAAAAATACAAATTAAAGTGCATAGGTTTCAATGACGTGTGAGTCTGTCCTTAAGTATCTCCTATTGCTTTAACGGAAAGATGAAGTCTGTGTCTGCTTTGGGTTACCTCTAACTTGTACAGGTACAGCTGTTAGAATAAGCATTAGTGTGTGCTCATTGTGATCTCTCTTTAAATCCAATTACCTTTCTGTAACAGGAAGTTATCAATGCTTTGAAGCAAACTTGGCATGTTTCCTGTTTTGTGTGTGTGGCCTGTGGAAAACCCATTCGTAATAATGTTTTTCACTTGGAGGATGGGGAGCCCTATTGTGAGACTGGTAAGATCAAGAGCCATTAGTTGCTTGAGTTTTGAATAAACCCCTTATATTACTATGAAGTGAAAAGAAAATACTAAGCTAAGTAGTTTTTCTTATTGTTTTTGAGGAATTTAACATTACCCTAAATATATAGCAAAAAATAAACTACTAAAACTTTTTTTGTGACTTTGTCAAAATAGACATTACAGACCTCATTATGAGAATTAAGAATGCAAGCAGTACTAGGGCTTGGGATGTAGCTCAGTGATAAAAGCATTTGCTTGGCATGTGTGGAGCCCCAGGTTTAATTCCTAGCACTACAAAAAATAAAAGAAAAGTAAGCAGTACTTAGTAGGAAGAATGTTTTTTTTTTGAATCTCTAATAATTTATGGATACACATTCTACCAAATCATGTATCCTAAAGCCACTTCTTATAGTATAATAGTGAATTTTAAGTGATTATAAACATGGGAAATGTTTAGCTTTAGAGTATGATAAAAATTTTACTGATTTGCTTTTTAAGACAACTGTCTTGAGCTGGGGTTGTGGCTCAGTGGTAGAGTGCTCGCCTAGCACACATGAGGCATTGGGTTCAAACCTCAGCAGCACCACATAAAAATGAAATAAAGATATTATGTCCACCTACAACTAAAAAATAAATACTAAAACAAAAGACAACTGTCTTGCAAATAAACTTGAAATCCTGTGTTACTTTTATTGAGTGGTAGGATAATACCTATTTGGACTGCTCCTTTGCTACAATTGCTTTAAACTAGGCTGTATGGACCTATCTCCTCCATTTGTCTTATTTTCTGATCTCTAAATGTGTTCTTTTCCTTTGCAGTGTCTATAAGTGAACCTTTCTAATACTTATTAATATTGCCCTTGATTAGATATTGCTACCACAGTACATATTAAAAATATGAAATATTTTTCTGATCTCATGTCTCCACTCATTGTCATTACATTCCCACTACTGATTTTTTTTTTTTTACTTTTTTTTAGTTGTACATGGACACAATATCTTTATTTTATTTTTATTTATTTTTATGTGGTGCTAAAAATTGAACCCAGTGCCTCATACATGTAAGGCAAGCACTATACCACTGAGGTACAATTCCAGCCCCCCACTATTAAGTTTTATTTTTATTTTACCTTAAATCTAAAATGTGTTGCTAGAAGGGAATATTCTAGGGCAGTCAGAATTAATAGCACTCTACCTTCCTTGCCCACTCAATGTTCTCTCTCTCTTTTTTTTTGTTTTAACCTTTTCTTTGTCTCCTTAATCAAGAACCACTTGGATCATCCATCAGAAAGTCTTAGAAATTCCAATAAACTATCCTGTGGGCAGTTTTGGTATAGATGGGCTCCAGGCTGCCGACCCTATCCAACAAGAATATTTCACATTTTGTAATTCCACTTAATTTTCTGTTTTTTATGCTTCTTGTTCAAGTCAGTTGGTATGATTTTTTTAGACACTTTGCAAGACATTCTAACTGAAAGATTGTTCTTCTCTAGTCAAAACATATAACTATCTAACCTTAATGTCATATTTAACATATTCCAAGAAGCAATATTTTAAAAACCCAAAGAATTGCTTATAGAAAGATAAAAATATTATTAAAGATCTATTTAAATGTTGCTTCAATTTGGTCCATTTTTTGTTCTGTCTTTTTCTTTAACCTCTCAAATCAGTTTTTTTTAATATTTATTTTTATTTCACTTATTTATTTTTACATGGTGCTGAGGATCGAACCTAGAGTCTTGCACATGCAAAGCGAGTGTTCTACCCCTGAGCTACAACTCCAGCCCCTCAAATCAGTTTTTTACATAGTTCCCCATCCCAATAAATGGCCCCATTGTCCACTATCCAAAAACCTAGAGATGACTTTAGATTCTACCCTTTTCCCTATTCTTTCCACATCCAATCTAGTGAGGAAACCTTGGCAGTTCTCCCTCCACTCCCATCACCCAGCAGGATATTGTACTATTTGTTTCTCTCCATCTCAAGTATCACCACTAAACCCAACTTGTTCTTGCCCTTTGTTCAAAATTGTAATCACTAACTAAAGGGTGTATCTCCTCACCCCCAACCCCCAAATAGCAGCTACAGAGAAACCTCAGTAATGTTTTTAAAAATGTAAATAAGATTGCTTAAAACCCTTTAGTGACTTCCATATAAAATTATAATCCTTGCTACAGCCCGCTTTGCCAACCTCATCTACCACCTTATGTTCTATGTTACTAGATTTGGGCCATACCTGGCCCCTTTGCTATATCTGAGCATGCTAAGATTCTTCCTGCATCAGAGCTTTTGTACTTATTATTTCTTCTAACTGGAGTGTTCTTGTCCAGGTTTTCTGTGGTGATTCTGCCTCAGTCTTCAAGTCTCTTCGAAACTACTATCTCCACTGAGAAGCCTTTCCTAACTTTCCTATGTAATGTAGTACAACCTCTACACTTATTATTCTGTATCATAACACTATTTTCTTTTCTTGAGGGCACTTATCAATCATGATCTGAAAACACACTGTTATCATTTATCTTTAAAATCCAAAAAATTATGGCATGCTGTTCTCAATGGGAACATAAAAGTCCCATAAGGAGAGCAAGCACATCTGTCTTCTCCACCACTGTACCTCTGCGGTATCTAGAACAATGCCTGGCACACAATAGGGTGCTGTGGATATGCGTTGAGCATGGTGCCAGAGTATATTAAAGATCACTGAGAAAAGTGAATCAAGCTGCAAGTCTCAGCCTACTGCACCTCCAGCTCAGGTTGGATTGACTAGTGTCAGGGGCCAAAAGGTGAACCATGAGTCAACATAGTGGTGTGAGTCAATGCATAAAAGGAAATAAAAGTGCTGATAACATTCTAATTTGGTAATTGAGAAAGATCTTATCAAAACAGTTTCTTCAGAAAGAAATTCAACTATAACTAATCTGTGCCAGGTAGATAGTGGGTATCAGGCTAAGGTTCTTCTACATGAAGTCATAAAATTGAAAGAAAAATATAATAAAAGAAATTGTGCTCATATTGTGATACAGTCTAGCTAGAAGCTCAGTCATGGTCCTTATTCGTGGAAGTTTTCTATAACTTGTTTTCCTCACCAAGTCAGATACCCTATGAAAATCTGCCAATAGCAGATATTTATTTAGAATTTATGTTAATTAGTCTTACCATTGCTACTTATTAGAGGTCCTCTTGTATTTAAAAAAAAAAATTTAGGTGTGAACAGACACAATACCTTTATTTTGTTTATTTATTTATTTTTTATGTGGTGCTCAGGATCAAACCCAGTGCTTCACAGCTGCTAGGAAAGCACTCTGCCACTGAGCCACAACCCCAGCCCCTCTTGTATTTTTTTTTTGAAACAGTCAAGTCTACTGATAATTTCTCAGAATAGTATTTTTTTTAACGTATTTGGGCATTTAAGTAGCTAGAGAGGATTGAGAAGTATAATGTGGAAAAATATAAGAAAGAATGCTACCCTGTTTACCTGTTTACCAAGGGAAACCTGAAACGTGTTAAACATGTATCTCAAGCCAAATATTATGCCATCTTCTGAAATTTTTCTAATTACTAGTATCTTTAACTTCAAGATCTCATTTAACCTCAATTGTGTTGCTGTTTTCTATGAATTATCAATCTAAAGCTTCATCACGTTTAAATTATCTCTCCCCCACCCCAAACAGATTATTATGCCCTTTTTGGTACTATATGCCGTGGATGTGAATTTCCCATAGAAGCTGGTGACATGTTCCTGGAAGCTCTGGGCTATACCTGGCATGACACTTGCTTTGTATGCTCAGTAAGTAAACTCCAAGCTCCTAATTAAAGTGGTACAGTACAGCCAGTTCTAGCATAAGCACTTAAGGGAAATAATAGTTCTTGTATCTTTTAGTCCTTCAAACCTAAAGAAAAAAAAAATTTTTTTTCAATGATTTTTAAAAGTTGTTTATTAATTAAAATTTGGGGACATCTTGAAATTATTTGGTATACAATAAGCTCTTTACCCTTAAAGAAAATTCTATTTTTAATACATTTTTCCCCATAAGGAGAAGCTATGTATTTCTTAAAACAGTAAGGGTCTGTTATTTTTTTTCTGAAACTTCGGTTTATTGGATGTTTTTGGTAAGTTTTAGAAACATTAGGTACTTCTTAAAATAGAAATAAACAATTTTTTAAATCTATTATTGAATTAACACTGGGAATAAACTATGTGCTGATTCATTTCCTTCCTTAGCAGTCACCCATGAATGTTCTTTTTGAGACTATAATGTTTAATAAAATATTTACTAATTTCATTTGATATTTTAATATTTTTGGTTTTATTTTTAATAATTTGGATAGAGCTCCATCTAAAATACATATTGTTTTTAATTTAGAAAGTAAATGTTCAATAAAGGTGCTCTGTTCCAATGTTTGATTATTTTCTTAGATTTAATATATCTAATAGTGTCTTGATATCCATTGTATTTAGGGGAAAAAAAGTAATGTTGATTAAATTCAGATGATTTCTCCAAACATTGCCTTTGAACTCTTTCTTGTTTACCTCATTCATCTCTTAGACTTCATGAAGTCTATAAAAAGTAACAATTTCTAGAAGATTTATCTTGTGTTCTCTGGTGGAGCTGCTCATGAGCATTGTAATTAGCCAAGGCAAGAGGAAAAACAAGAAGGCATAAGTGAGAAAAACTGATGATATAATCAGACATTGGGCAGATATTGACTAGGATTTTCTGATAAACATTAAATGTATTAACTCTTTCATGAATTTGGGCTGAGGATGTAGTTGTATAGTAGAACTTGTATCTAGCAATGTGTGAGTTCTGGGTTCAATCCCCAGTACTGCAAAAGATTTTTTTTTTAATTATTTCATGAATTGGTGATTTCATTAAAGAATGAAATTAAAGGAGTGAATTAAAAAGAAATCTCAATTATATGTCTCTCAATGTGTGTTTTGGGAACAGACTCAAGTTGGGCTTGGACATGTTTAGAAAAGCAATTGACTTGTGTTTTCTGTTTGAATGCTTTAGTTCTCTTCAGCAGGAAGCAGATTTAAAGCATTGATTAGAATTAATCTGGAGAGATAAAATATATTTAATGTGACCTCATTACATATTAATTTTTTCATTAGAACTAAGTACTTCCCACCCAATAAAAAAGTAATGATCAGTGATTTAAATAAATTAGAATATATTCCAAGAAAAAAGTCATTCTTCATTGCCTTTCAAAGATTACATGAAATGTCATAGTAATCATGAAATGTCAGGGTTTCTAACACAACCATCTAAAGTACTTTGTCATATTATCCCATTGGGGGAAAAAGTCACTTTCCCCTTCTCTGGCATGCTTGATTAAAATAATGACAGTCTCTTAATTAATACTTCTTTTTCAGGTCTGTTGTGAAAGTTTGGAAGGTCAGACATTTTTCTCCAAAAAGGACAAGCCACTTTGCAAGAAACATGCACATTCTGTGAATTTTTGAAAGTCAACAGTTCAGGGAAAGAGAAGAAATCGAAAAGAAAGAAGAGAATTGAAATTACCAATTAATCTTTAGATTCAATATTTATTTGGAGTTTTGAAAAATAATAGTGTCCCTGAAGGGATAAATTTCAGCATTAAAAATATTTGGCTTCATAAAGTAAAGAGATAGTTTGACATTTGTTATTACTTTTTCCTGTATTTTATGCCCATAAAATAACCTTTATAAAAATCAATTTCCTGGATGACTATATCTTTGAGTAAATTAGCAAAAAATTAAATTTTAGATTAATAACTCCAATCTCTATGCTGAAATAATTATACTTTTCTTTCCTTGCTAGGTAATTATGAGTAAACTGTAAAATGCAATGAAAATGCCTAAAAGTTTATTAATAAGAGAATTGTTCTTTTGAAAAATCTAGTGTTTATCTTTAAAACAGTGAATGAGAGTTTAAACAGAACTTTTATCAGTAGGAGATGTCAGTTTAAAAAAAAAAGTGTACTTTTTGTTGTTTGTTTATTCTTAGACAGTTGATCATTCTAGTCGGAAAAGCCAATGATATTTTGGATGTGTCAAGCCTTTCTTCTCTTACCCCCCTCCAAAAAGCTGCCATATCTCTTATAAAATCTCAAATTTTTGCCTTGTATTAAAATGTGATTATTTCTACTCATTGTGTATGCTTCATCACCTGTATTAGCCAAACCCTGCTGTTTCCCTTCCCTCGTAGTGAGATAAAGAACATAGTTTTCTTTAAAGAGAAAACAGAAAAGACTATGGTTAGGAATTATGGCAGCTGAGAGGATCGGACCTAAAAAAGCAAACAAAAAAGCACTACTGCCCCCTTTTCAGAGTTGTACCACTGACTGAAGTTTTGAGAGCTGTCTTTGCAGAAGTTTATGTTTTGTTTTGTTTAATTTTAACTTAGAATTGGCTTGGGATAATAGTAAGCTCTAGATTTTTTTTTCGTAGTTTTCTCTCAATAATAAGCAAACCACTTCAAATGTGATCACAAAAAGTGGAAAGCTTTTATTCACAGAGATTTGGTAGTATAGGAGAGGGAGGTGATTAATTACTCAGATTGACCTTTTTGTTTTCCTCATTTGTGCAAAGAATCGTGTAGATACCACATGGAAACACAGAAACAATTGTAAAACTGTGGATCCTGTTGATATTTGCCCAGTGAGAAAACAGATTATGGCATTTGATAGTTTTTCTCTTTGTTTCTAGAATGGATGAAAGCCTATGAACCCACTGAGTTATAATTTAAATCTGTGTGAGGCAAGGTGCTTTTAAAGTCCAGACAGAGTCCCCAAGCCCTTCCTGCCCCATCACTCACTAATGACTTCAATTCCATTGTGTGTATGTTTGTTATAGAGGAGGTTTTAGGCTACACTATTTGTTTAACCTCCCTAAGAACTTTCAAGGCATCTGTCCTGAAAGCTGCTAATACATGGTCTAGCAGATTTATATTATATGCAGATAATAATTAACTGGGGATAAAAGAATAGGAGGGGGTGACACAAAGTGGCAAATTGAATACTTCCCCAGTAGCAACTCCAAACTACCTCCTCACCCTGCATCTTGTAGGGAAGGGGACGCTTCTTTTGAGATGAAGTGCTGGAGCTGAATTGTGCATTAGATCTCATTGCTGCTGAAGTTGCCTATGGGCAACTTGCTGGCTAATGTGCATCCTTACATATCTTAATGTCAGTCTTTGCTTTATACAATACAAAGTTGGTTGTTTTGTTTGGTATGATGGAGTATTTTTGTTGTTTAGTTTTGCCTTTATAGATTGAATGCCAAGATAGTATTTTATAAGTGAAAGGCATTGGGTTTTTTTCTTTAAAGAATTTTATTTGACCTGGATTTCTTATAAAGCTGTCTTTCTCTAAGGCTATCATTAGACTTTTCTACATATATTCTTCATGGAGCATAATGTTGCATGTCTCCAAATTTTAATGCCTAAAAAGATAGTTTGCTTTCTTTTTTTTTTTTTTTTTTTTTGTGCTCTGTCTCTGGTGTTACAGAGCTTTTTATATGTTCCTAAGACAGTTAATCCTGTGAAATAAATATTGCCCAAAACCCAGAAGAATCTCTGTGTTTTACAGTGGGGAATGCCATGTTTAATTCACCAGCATTAATTTTCTAATAACTGGCTGAGCACTTTATTCTTCTGGTGAGCTTTCTGAATATTTATTTTTCTGATTATAAATATTCTGTGTCAGTAGCATTTTTATTATTACTTCTTCACTGTAGAGCATTGACTTTTCATCTCCCTAGATGTATATTTTGAAATAATATACTTGGTAAAACACAGATGAAAATCATATAGTACATGACTCTAAAAACTCCTCTACTTGAATCTCCCACTTTAAAATTTTAGTAATGGCTTAAGATTCATAATATTTCTCTAAACTTGCAAGGGATAAATATTGCCCACTGAAATAGCAATCTAAAAATGATCCCCTCTGCTTTAGGTTATAGTGACATATATATTTCCTATTAAGGTTACATTTAGAGTTTTGGTTTTTGTTTGTTTTTCATGTTGTGCTAGGTATCAAACCTAGAGCCTCACACATGCTAAGTCAGCACTCTGCCTCTGAGATACATCCCCAGCTCTTTTTGTTTTTATTCTGAGACAGGATTCTCATTCAGGCTGTCTTAAACTTGAGGTCTTCCTGCCTCGGCCTCCCAAGTAGTTGGGATTACAGGTGTGTACAATATTTAGAGTTTAGAACTAAAACCTATTTATTTGGTCACGAGTGTTAAAACAAATAGAACTAACAGTTTAAATCTGCAAAATACTAGTGTAGCCTTATGTTTAAAATTATCCACAACAAAAATATATGATTTTCAAGGAGTAGTATATTAGAAGCACTTTCATAGGAAATAATTTCTTCCTTCCCCTTGTTGAGTGTGAATCCAAAAACATATTGATACTTTGTGGCATTTGGAGTTTAGTCATTGAAGGGAAGAGGAAACATACTGAGTAGTTTTACACAAATCTAACCTGGCTTCAATTTGTCTCCCTCACCCCTAAATGTTGAAAGATGTCTGATTTGAATTCTTTATGTATTAATTATCTATTAATCTCTATCTTCTGTTTCTTTAAATTTTAAAGTTTGTATATACGTGCTCTTTTGCTTTTGGATACATTTTCTAATTAAAAAATCACATGAGAAATATAATCAGTATAGTAATACTTTAATGTGCACATATTCAATAAATAAATGCCTTCAACGGTATACACAAGTTCTCCTTGTTGTTTTTGCATAGTAAGAGATTCCATTAAGTAATCGTGGGGAAAAAAATCATGTTCCATATGCACAGGATAGGATGAAATGTAATAATTACCTTAAGAATAAAAGAGGAATTGGATATTTTGGATATCCAATTTGATTGGATATTTTGCCAATCAAAATATTCCAGAAACAGAACATTTAAAAATAGTGTCACATTTATTCTGTTTTTTATCCATTTTTATAGTTTTCATGTAGAACGTACACAATAAATGTTTGTAAATTTGTAGATAAGTCTGTCTTAAAAAAAATATTTATTACTGGGTTGGGAGTGTGGCTGGGTCACTGGTAGCATGCTTGCCTGGCATGCATAAGATCCTGTGTTTAATCCCAGCACCATAAATAAATTTAAATTTTTTAATGTTTATAGCTGAAATTATTTAATGGAATAACTTAACATATTAAACATTATATTGTTATCATAGATTGTAATCAAACAACATAAATTCTCATCTACATTTTCACATTTTGTATTAGCCAGGGCTCATTACTTCGTGTGTCACATCCAGATCTCGTTAGCTAACTGTACATTAGTAGGCAGGCTCACCTCGTCCTCGTTTGTTTATTGGCTTGAGTAAGATTTTTTTGCCAACTGTATAAAGTTAAGAGGAATGTTTCTGTTGCAAGCTGTGTATTGGAAATAAGAGAGAAATTCAAGTCTATTTGCTCACAGTATATTAAACTCCAGAAGCCAAACTTTTAAGGGCATCAAGTCTGCATCTGACATTTTAATAGCTGCTGTTTGGTTTCTATCAATCACGTCATTGCACATTAAAATGCACCAACAAAATAAGAGATCTGTCATTCCTTCGTTAAGGAACAGTAATCCAGTACAAGATTTATAGGCTTACGACTCAACTGTGTGTTCACAATAAATCCCCATTCAGTGTTCAAACCAGAGCAAGCCTCCCTGTTCAGTGTTTTCTAGTCAAAATGTCCTCAATATAAGATTATCAAAGGTTTTCTTACAGAACTACATATAAAATCTTTTTTTGCCAGCAAAAGCTTAATTTAGGTTGGCGGCTTCCCTTTTTGAGTACCTAGACAAGATCTTGGTTATATCAGAAACACATAGGTACTGCTGTATTATTAGCAGGCCTGGTGTTAATTAGGGAGAATTACCAGAAATAGTTTGCCTCGTGGAAATTTATTACAGAATCACACTTGACTGATGGCAGAATAGGAGTTGCTGAGAGAGAGCAGCTCCCACTCATAACCACTAATTAATAGGGTGCCAAAATTCCGCAGAGAAGGTTTCATCCCAAGTGTGGGAGCCTCACAGGGAAAATGGTTCTTGTGCACTATTTAAAAATTAACAGAGGAAAGTAGCTGGACACATGGGTACCTAACAGAACAGAAGTCTCAGATTGATGGGGTCTTAGGCTGTATGAATGAGAAGATTTAACTCAGCACCAAGCCCAAAAGTTACCTGTGTGTTTGTCATGCTAAGGACATATGCTTATTGTGTTTAATGTGAAGCATCTGATTCCCAAACTTCATTTTATGAAGAGAATTTAGAACAATCATTTTATCTGGTCTGATAGTACTCTTGATTCCATCACTTAGAAGCCAAGTTGGTGGCAAGATCACATCAATGATTAACAAGAAAGGTGTGGCCTCTGCACCTTGAACATGGAGTTGGGGAAAGTGAGGTGCACTTAGTGATTGGCACTAATGGTAGAGCACTGGAGAGTCCTACTGGATGAAAGCTTGCCAAGAAGGAAGTTTCTTGGTTTTTTTTTTTTTCCCCTGTCTGTAACTGCATGTAATTACACACAATAAAGCTTGGAGACGTTGTTGAATAAGAAGAATAAAACATTTTCATGTCAGAAAACCACTGATCGTTGACCTCAGGGAGAAAAATAAAACAATTTAGAATTCACAAAGAGTATAATTTTTCAATTTCTCAATTATGTCAAATAGCAATCCCAAGGAAAATGACTTCTTTGCCAGGCCCATGAATCAATTGTCCCAGTCTCTTATGCATCCAGGTTTCAAAGGACAGTTTCTGTCTTTTCTGCCAGAGTTCTCTAATTGGGTTTCAAATTAGTTTTTCATCTTCATAGTCTAAACTGTCACCTAGTTCAAATATAACTAGGTTTGTTTCTCAGACTTGTTTTTTTCCCTTTCTGTTTCTTTTGCTTATAAAGCACGTGGCTGGTGCAATTCTAACTTACAAGTCCCATTGTTTCTTTGTTTAAGGTATTTTTATTGGTGCATATTAATGACACAGACTGGTAGTTCTCATTTCATAGTCCTAGATCCATAAAACATAATTTGATCAATTTTGTTCCTTAATACCTGATCCCTCCTCTGACACCCTTGCTCTACCCTAAAGGCCTCTCCTCTGTTTTCATGGCATCCTGTTTTGAGGTTAGTTTTTGTTTTCCCTCTAGTTTCACATATGGGAGAAAACATGCAAAATTTTTTCAAGTCTGACTTGTTCTGCTCAAAATATGGTCTTCAGTTCCATTTTCCTGCAAATGACATAATTTCATTCATTTGTGGCTGAATAAAACTCCATTGTGTAGATATACCACATTTTCTTTATTTATTCATCCATTGACAGACACCTAGGCTGATTCTATAACTTGGCTCTTGTGAATTGTACTGTGGCAAAAAAATGGGTATGCCTGTATCTCTAAGATATGCTAACCTTAATTCTTGGGGACAAATATCAAGGAGTGGTATAATTGTTAATATGGTAGGTAGTTCTATTTTTAGCTTTCTAAAGAAACTTCATACTGAGTTCCCTAGTGATTGTAGAGATTATAATATCTTGAGGTGTGTCTTAATTTTTGACCTTAGTGTATCAGTAAAATGCCCAACCGTTCCCTTAGAAAGTGAAAAAGTAAATATAATTCCATTACTCTATTATTAGTTTTGCATAAATAAAAGTTGGTTTATATGTGACCCATATTGATGCCATCTGACCCCAGAAGCTTTCTGTATCCCTGTTTGCTTGAGTATCCTGACAATTTAATGGCCTCCATAGTTGCCTGAACAGAGCAAAAGAATCCATGGAGCTTTTCAAGCATGAACTTTGAAATATAAATTAAATTAGTTCTGGCTTCCTCATCTGAAACTTATCATTCTGCTCGGCTAAATTATTATGCTACTGCTAAATATTGAAAATGCTTTGAGTAAAACGGAACTTAACAAGCAGGTGGAGAGGCACAGAAGAGACCTCAGTACTTCTGTTCCCCCATAAAAGATATAAATCAATGCACATCTATTATAATTTGCTTATTCCTAAATCTGGGAAGTACTTGATGCTCTTTAACAATATCAACATAGATTATAATAGCATAAATTAGGGCTAGGAAAAAAAGTTTGTTTTGTTATTCATGGTCAGAGTCCAATCTGGACGGAAACCACAATAACTTAAAAGTTTAGCATAAAGAATTATTAAGGGACTGGGGTTGTGGCTCAGTGGTAGAGTGCTCACCTAGCATGCATGAGGCACTGGGTTCAATCCTCAGCACCACATAAAAAAATAAATAAACAAAGGTTTAAAAGAAAAAAAGAATTATTAAGCTGTGATAGGATAGCTGAATAGGAAAATATAAAGAAAACTCTAAGGGATAACTTAAAGCTGAGAGAGAAGATTCAGCAAAAACAACCTCAGAGGCAGGTCTCTCCACGGCTAGGGTTGAGAACTCTGAGAAAGTGGTTATCAGCCCACTGAATGCCAGGTTCTGAAGCCTGATCACGCTCTCAATAGCCAAACACAAGGAAACTGCTCTGGATGGCAGGCAAGCCAGAGCTCATGGCTGGGGGCACAAAAGAAGTGGGGATGCTGCTGTGGGTGCTGGAATATAGAGTACTGTGGCAAGAGGGTCAGAGCAAGGTGCTGATCAAGCCCAGGCTAACTGTGCAAAATCTCTGAGGGACTGTGCACTTTGCATACACAGCTGGGGCAAAGAACCACCAGATGTCTCCAAACACATGCAGCATGATGGACCACACAGAAAAGCAAAACGTAGCACCTAGAACCAGAAAAAGAAGCCCCTCCCAGAATATTCTTTTGTCTACCTCATCTGACAAAACAACACCATGACCAGTACAAAGAGAAATGCTTGGAGAGTCCAGTTTGGACTGGCGTAGTGGTGCATGCCTGTACTCCCAGTGACTCAGGAGGCTGACACAGGAGGATCACAAGTTCAAAGCCAGCCTCAGCAACTTAGCCAGGTCTTAAGTGACTTGGCAAGACCCTGTCTCTAAATATAAAAAGGGCTGGGGATGTGGTTCAGTGGTTAAGCACCCTGGGTTCAATCCCCAGTACCAAAAAAAAAAAGAGAGAGAGAGAGAGAGAGAGAGAGAGTCTATTCTGGTATCACAGTGCAGGTACTGAAGGGTGAATTTGGAACAGAAAATCAATAAATTAATAATTGGCACACTCAGTTACAAATAAAAGCTTTAGATTCTTGACTAAATAAAATCCCCACTATGCAGAATATCACTGTATATTCTTGGTGAGTTAGAAAGCCAAGAAATTCTTTGTTCTTTATTTCAAAAGCACTTTTATAATATACCTTCAGTATACAAATTAAACATGATGTATCGATGTTGTGTTCCAGGGTTTACCCACTCATCACTCATTGTAACGCTATAGTTCTGAATATTTAAGAGATTCAGTTGGATATATACAAGGATATAACCAAAGTAGTTCTTTTAATGAGTTAATTTTTTACTGCAATACTTGTGCTACAGTTAAAATGAGTAAAACAGTCTTAGTTGAAGTTTTATGTTATTTAATAAGGATTTCAGTTTACAGAAGTTATTCTGTATAAACCTCAACCCCTATCATATACAAAAATCAGCCACTTTCATATTCAGCAAGGAGACTGACAATTTTCCTTTCACAATACACTAAATCATGAAAGGATCAAGCCTATCTGATCTGTAATAACAACTTGCATTTGTAATTTGTGTGGTACATGATCTCTCACA